TGCCCCACCGTGCACGTCTTCCACCAAGCCATCGCTTAGTCTGAGCTGCTTTACCATGATTGCTGCAGCACTCAATCTTGGTAGTGTTGGTATGCGGCAGGGAAGACACCACTCACGCAGACTTACTGCGAATGAGGGCCTTGAACAATCTGCATGTCGCTCGGTGAGCGCGACGGTCCGTGTCATCTGTACATCTGCGCGGGGATAAAATGCATACAACCGGGAGCCTTAAAGGTAGATATTGGACGACAAGCGACATGCGTTGTCAGGGCGCGCCATGGTACATAAATTCAACTAATCGAATACGAGATGACTATGTGCCCAGCTCCGTCGCAGTTATGATGCGAGCTCACGATGCAGTACCATCGCATGATCCTGAAGAGAGTCAAGGACTGTAGACGACGTTGCATCTTCCCTGGTTATCTAACGTAGCGTTCCGAGCTTCACCACACCTTCACGTATCAAGATGAGCTCGTCTAAGCCCCGCACCTTCATACAATCAGCAATCAAGCCCCGCCTAGCGAGATAACAAAGGTTCTGGTTCAGAGCGCCTTGGAGTTTCTGCCTGCGGATCACATTTACCGCCGCGCTCCTCTTCGGCTACGCCGTGAACCCTTGTTCCAAGTTCAAATATAACTCAGCCTCACTTAGGCGATGTATCAACCGTGGGGTTTCAGTGAGTGAACATCGCAGAAGCGAGGGTGGGCTGAGAAGTCTAAAGCGTCGAGAGAAGTTACCCCGCATGCGCCTTCAGCCCGTAGCCGTCTATCTCTTATCGCTTCCGCAAGGGTTGCGGTTCCTGGCAACACGTTCCTGAACAGCCTGCCGCTAACGTGTTTCAAAATTCGGTTGGGCAGCAACTACGCGGAACATAACCAGCGATCGAGTCAGCCTTCTCTCTGCCTCTGCGGCACAGTTGTCCTGCATCTCGAACAAAACCCATCCTGATCCTATCGAATAACGCGCGCTTTGTGGGCGCGTGCGTAGGATTCAGGTCGCCGATTATGCCGGCCGAAGTGTCAAGACGTCAGTGTTGGTGACGCTGGCACTTGCCTGACTCGGCGCGGATGACCGTTGAAACTTTAATTCCTCGAACTCCAGGGCGTAACGAGGGAACCCCTACAGGGACCTGGTTCGCGAAGCCGCGGGATGCGCAACACGGAAAGTCATGATCCTAGTAATAGTCGCCGTTCAGCATTTGACAAGATGCGACATCGCCTGTTCCTGAACCGCACGGGGTCCGGGGCAAGCGCATCAGGATCCCAGGCACAATGCCCATGATCCCAGCACCGGCGATCCAGCATCTACCATGGTTTGGAGTCAAGCGAGTGCTCATCAGGGGCTGTCATGGGCATCAATGTTGCGAACATCGACCCATGTTTCAACGGTTAAAGAGCCCGGAACGTTAGTGCAGGTACGGCAGCGGGTGGGATTGACTCGAACATGCAAAACATCACCCGTAGTGGGCAATCACTATATCCTACCAAACTATCGTCATCCTGCGCAAGGCATGAAGACTCAATAGTGAGGCGTACGGCAGACTCACCTCAGCCACTCTGGAACAGTCGGCGTACGCGGCTGCGGTTTGAGTCGTTCGCCAATCCTGAATTCTCGGGATAGGGAAAATTCGAGACGTTCGCTTGCTGCGCAGCGCATGACAATGATCGCTGAATGACGCCAATTGGCAATCATCATCGAGGCGAGCTGTATATCCCGCTTCCACTCTCACATCATCCTGAGTCGTGATCCATTCGCCAACAAAGGTATTTGCGACACCAGTTCATGCGAAGACCCGTTGTTGGGAATCGAAGAACATTTCTGGAGCAACGGATGTGTGCGTCTGACAGGGAGTGCAAGATTGACGGGACGGGTACGTCAATGACGGGCGCGCGCGTCGTACTGTCGCTTGCACACAGCGATGCGAAGGTGTATTCGATGCCCTATCGTGCAAAACAGCGTTGCTCAGACTCGTCAGCTGCGAGGTCAAAAAACGATACACCGGCCTCAGCCCATCAAATGGCACGTGACACAAGCTTCAAGGCGAACAAACGGTGCGAACAACGGCCCGCAATGCCATGAATGATTTCAGAAGTAACCTTGGAAGTACGCGTGCTCAGGCAACGTTGTCGGGAGCACCTCACACGAAGGGGTTTCGGTGGTCACTTCTGTACCTCGACATTCTTGTTCTCTTGCTTAGCCGGTTCCGTACCGTGTTACACAGCATCAGATATCAATCACGTGGACGATCTAATGCAGGGTACCGCATGACCTAGCACCGCGAACATCGTAATGAACTTTTCGATGCTTATCGCCAGCACATTGTGCATTAAATGCTAGGGCAAAAATTAAAGGTCACCGGAGCGCTCTCAGCCTTCTGACCATTGGCGGACTAGCCCAACATTATCTTCGAATTGCGATGGAGACAAGGGCGAGAGCTAGCAATCTAACGCGATAATTGACTTTCGGGTGTAGGTTTCCTAGCCTCTTGCGCTACAACCTGCCACCACTGCTTGACGTAGGCCCGAATACAAAGGTACTACGAACCTGTCGGCCTCTTTCCTTGGATTTGCCAATGGTCAGGGGGTTCAAGGGACGGTAACGCAGGCCTTCACCGATCGATGGGGGGCGCTGCGATTGCGTGTTCGCGATTTGATGCTCACGACGGTCTAGCCATTGCGCGCAACACCGCGAGCTAACGACATGAGCGAGAAAAGGGCCGAACCAAGTCGGACTGCGACACCAAGTACAGATCTGCCCCATTGCGCGTCCCCTCATCTACTGTTACTACCTTTGCTTATTTACTTTGACAGCTACGTAACACGCGTTTTTAGCTGTCATCCAAGGCCCCCTGTACTCATTTTCTTTTCTTTGATAGAGCTGCACAATGTACAAGGCTATGTACTGCAGCTTCAACCTGCGAAGGAAGTACATCCGGCATTTGGACAACGTGTGAGCCAGTGAACGGGCTCGGCTGCGGACCGAACCGGTACTGTACCGAACAGTAATGTGTTGCAGAGAAAGGAAGAAGCAAGCAGAAAACGAACAGTCCATCATCCGCGGGATAAGAAAAAAGAGTGACACTGCAAGGATGCCCAAGATATGGTGGTGGGGAACACCGACGACATTTACCTTTCTTGCTTCTTCTTGCGGCTAGAGAGGACGAACTAAAGTGGCGCTGGACTGCTCACCTTTTTGCTTTTTGGCGCCGCGGAACGCAGGGTGAAGTTAAACGGGCTGCATAATACCCGTAATGCAAAAGTAACGGCTTTGTGAAATAAGTAAACTGGTTTCCAAAACACTGCCCAACTTTTGCTTCACCCGCGGATGCGTGGGTTGTACTCTATGTGCTACAGCTATGTTCGTCATGATTGAGCAAGGGAATCCGAAAACGAAGGAAGCTGCAACTAATCCAGTACGGAACAGCAAGAGCCCCAAACACGACTCGCTCCAGGGTTTGGGGAAACTCGAGCTTCGCTGCAGAGACGACCTTTGGGTCCAAGCTCCCTATCCAGCCCAGCAGGGCAGCAAAGAGCTGAGTCCAGTGCGTGCGCCCCCGCGGCATGACGGAGCCCTAGGGCGCCTTATGTCGATTGCGCTGCCGAAACCACTTTACTGAGCAAAGAAAGCCCGTACCAACGCCAATCCCTCGCTTCTCCAAGCTCGCGCTCGTCTCATCCCTGATCCAGATCGGGACAGCCCTTTGACACGAACCAAATGCGCAAACTTTCCAGCTGAGTATGGTGCGCGCGCGGGGAGACGGGATACCAAATGTCTCACGCTTGCGGGCATCTAGATCAGGCTCAACAGTTTGAGGATCTGTCTTCCTCGTATACGAGCCTCGTCATCGATCGTTATGCATTGCGATCGCTTCAAGCGATGTATCTGGATATGTATATATGTACTTTTGTGATGTATCAAGGATGTGCAAGGTGCGCCAGGTCAGAAGGTGTCCGAGCTTCGTGCAAAGGCGGGGAAGGGGGCCAACTGGTGCCGACTGAACCTGCAAGTCTCACATGCAATTTACGTTTTGGCCGTGTCCAGGATGCGGAAAGCCAGAACGAACGAATGCTGCTTTTCGTTGCGATCGGCATGTCTGTCGGCAAGGTATTTTCCGAAATTCAGTGTTGTTTTTCGGCGGGCTATGCCAAAGTTTGTTGCACATCGTTGCTATAACGGTGTTGCAATGCGATGCCGAAAGCTCCGTCACGGGGGCTTAAAGCGGCAAGTACCAGCCGTTCATGAGCCAGACTTTTGCCGATCAGTGAAGTGTCAGTGGTGCTCCACCAAAACTAGGCTGAGTCTGACCATGATCAGATTGAGATCGGAAGAAACTGACTAGTGACATCAGACGCACAATCGTATGGCACGTTGGATTGAGCATTAATCGCATTTCGAGCGTGATTGACCCTTTCGTTAGGCCGGTCTTGCGGCAAGGGTCGGTAACTATATTAGAAGCTACATATAGGTGCACAGCAGTGCGTACGAGGCCCATCGCGCCGTTTCAGACTCAGTGCAACGTATGAGGGCCGCCAGGCAAATGTAAATGGAACGTTTGAAAGCAGCAAATAGAAGCGTACAGAATATTGGCCCGCGTGGGCGGATACAGTCTTCGTTTTAGGTAAGGGGATAAAGTCGAAAACAGTCAGGTTACTGTGCGCTGCTAGAGGGGGGTATAGTGGTTCGTGGAGCAAGGGAATAGGAAGATGGAAAATGAAAGTCAATGAAGGAGTAGTGAGAAATAGAAGCCATGCTAATGATGCTGATGCGAGAATGCGGCAAGATGCGGCAATGAAAGAAAATCCAAACGGTGACTGTAATGCAGAATGCTAGCCGTGTGTGTATGTCCCTGATCCCGGTGTTCTAGACCGCAAGTGTTGCACAGTCTTGCTACTCCAAACCCAAGCGATTCAGGAAGCTTGTTCCACAAAAGAAAGTGGTCGTCAGCGTTACGTGCTGTGACAGGCGTCACAGGCCCTTGGATGAGTGACATGTCCATTTCGCTAATGGATCGCGTCGACGCTTTCGAGCTTGGCCGTTGTGAAGTTGGGCTCTGACACACGTCGCATCTCGGAAGGAAGGCTCTCGGAGCTGCGCTTGATTCGTAGCTTCTCCATCAGCTTGCCAATGGTGACATACTCCTGGGGCTCCACGACGAAACCGGCGTTCTGTGACTGGAAGAAGGTCATGACGAGCTCGAGAGCGCGTGCAGCTTCTTCTTGGGACGGTGTGATGGGCGAGGAGTCGGCTGATGAGCCTTTGTCGTCGATGGAACCTGGGAGAGGAGGGGGCTGCATCGAATTGGGCATCTGGGTAGGTGAAAGCGACATTCCTTCCTCAATGACTGGCAGTGTACCAGGCATCTCGGTCATGGGCGAATCAAGTGCACCGCTACTGACGTACTTGGGAGTGATATCATCAGATGAGCCAGGTGGTGACATGTACTGCTCAACACCAACAAGCATGGGGAAGGTTTGGCTTCGGGGCCTTTGGAAGTTGTTGTTCCCTGGCTGTCCATTCGCAGGCTGGCGGCTTCCCATGAATGGACTCGGGCCGCATGCTGAATCAGGCGTGAAGAAAGGCGAAGAAAGCGACGTGGGGCTTGTGGCTGTATCCGTGAAGACGCTTGACAAAGACGTACTGCTCTGTGAGTGGAAGGGTCGGCGATGGTTCGAAAAGTCGTATGTGTCTGGGCTTTCTGTCTTGAGATTTTCCTGACTCTTCTTCGCTGTCATGGTCGTTGTCGCTGGAGATATCCCACCAGGTGAGGTAGGCGAGATGGCCCCCGGGGTATGCACATTGGATGGCGGATTCGAAGTCCCCTCCGACTCTTCTGCTATCGAAGTCTTTCGTGACCTTGCACCACTGAGGTGATTCTTTTGCTTGAACTTTTCCAACCAGCTCGCACTATTTACCTTGAGGTGGCTCTCCGAGTTGCCGACGGTCTGAGCGAAGAAGCGGGCCTTCTCTCGGATCTGAGCATCTGACAGCTGTGCTCCCTGTTTCTGATGGTTTCGTGCCCAATTCGACAAGGCACGTTCGATATCCGGGAATTTGCCTTTCGACCTTTTTATGGGTGATCGGCTACCATCGTCCTGGTACAAGTATTTCTCCTTCTGGCGCAACACTTTCGAAACGGTACTACAAAACTGTCAGCACGGGAAGAGACATGCAGGGTTTGCAGTGGTACCTTCGCTCTACGCCGAACATTGCTAGGATACCGTTAGTAAAAGATCCATGTGAGTCTTGTGCGTGGTGCTGGCATACCTCCAATTTCCGTTTGCTTGACAGTGGGATTTTCTTCATGGTATTGGCACATGCGTCTGCGGTCCGAGTCTGTGAGAGTCTTCCGAGGTGTCGACGAAGTGCGGGAATGTGTTGAGCTCGCTGAGACTGGCGTTGCTGATGCCGGCGTTATCGGTGGTGGGGCTGAGGGGAACAGTGAAGCTTGGTAAGTCGACTGGCTGGTCAGCATGCTCGGCCATTGCGGCATCTGCGGCATGATCAGAGGCTGCAGCTGTGGATGCGTAGTCCTTGGTGTCGGATGAGTTTGGTGGGGTGGATGCATGCCGTTCCCGTAGATGGGTTCCATCGGGAGCGGTGCAAAGCCGTTGAAGCCATTATAGTCTTGGACTGGAGACTGATGGTGTGGGTTGTATCCATTATCGCCATGCCATCCAGAATGGTGATCCTCGAAAGGTTCCTGGTGGTGGTGATGGTGGTGGTCGTGATCCATTTGCAACTGGCTCATGTCGAATGGCAGTACGTATTGGAGTTGTGTATCCGTGCGAGTGTGGGAACAAGTGTCCGTGTTGGGTGCGGAGCAGAAGTAGGGTGCCAGACGGGCATATGCACCTGCACCGTGGTGTTGCTATACCTAGGCGGCGTGGGTGACCTCAGAGCGGCCGAGCGCATACATGCATGAGACGAGATTTTGGTTCCTGAGGCGAAACAGCGACAAGTCAATGTACCGCAGTAGCGGGGGTAGCGCTGACAAAAGGCGCTGGGTATGACAGAGGTCAAAACATATAGGTATAAAGCAGCGCGGCAAAGCAATGGCCTTAGATGGAGAATTGAAACTGCAGGGAAAGCCTGGCGCGGCGGGCCTGCAGCGCGTACTTGAGGATAAGTCTGGGGACACTGGTAACAGGCCCTGGCTGTGCGATGCGGGCGCGGCCTACTGCAGCTGGCGGGAGAGGAGCCCTGTTTGTTTCGAGCCCAAGCTTGCCGGCAAGCCTGGCGTGTGCACAGTGATCCTGGTCGCCATTCGGCCAAGCGACGAGCGACGACGTTGGGCTTAGCGTGTGCGGGTCTCTCATCGGGGATGCGCCCCTAGGACAGCGCGGGCCAGAATTATGCGGCCGCCAGGCTAGCTCGCCAGTGCATGCCTCGACGCCTGACTCCTAGCAAGGGCAAATGGGATGTCAAGGCAGCCGGGTGGGATCATCCCATCAGGGCCCTCGCACCGCTGAGCACGTCGCAGCCGGCTAATCTGACGCTTCCCGAACAAGACATGGTCTGAGTGGAAGCGCCATATTGGCTTCGCCTCGTGCGCCCAGCGAAATACATCCTGGCCGTTGCCGTACGCTCGTGGCGCGAAACAGTGGTAGCCGATTCAATGCTGCTCAGGTACGCGAGCGTGTGGCGATTCCCACGGCAGGGGCAAGACGTCAATCATCGGCTGTGCATAAAGGAGAGACAGAAAGTGTCGACGGCTGAAACGCTTTCGGAAAGCTGCAATAATCGCGCCCATGGAAAATCGAGGTTTTGCCGACCAGCCACTCAGGCTTTCGGGAGCGATAATGATTTAGCGCCCGACTGACAGCGTGCCCTCTGAGTCGCCAGCACAGCTAACCCCTGCTGATTTCTCCGAGTCGACCGCTGCGCCCGTTAGCAGACCAATAAGGAAAACCGACGCCTCAAAAATTGGGCCAGACAATGCTGATCTGAATCCATCAAATTCCGAAGCAAATATGGAATAAAAACAAATGCGACATGCTGACCCCGTTCCAATAACTCCAGCGGCGCCATTACCACGAGGGTCCGCGACGGCAATGTCTTGAATGACGCCTCCTCGGCAGGGGAAGCAAATGCCTGGTATTGATAGCTCGCGGACGGTATCGGACCGCCACCAGTCAGTCGAGCATTGGCGATTGGCAGGTACGATCCGCGCCGTAAGCTGCGTTGCCCAGTGCTAGTGTCGTCCTGATGTCGTCCGCGGTGCTACTGGAACGAGCCCTCGGCCAATCCAGGCCGCGAGATCGGCTCCAAGCCTCGCTCTCTTCGTCATCTTAATGCTGCGACCTAGTATTGGTATCGCAGTGAGACATGTTCAGCCATCCAGAAGGCCCTTCTGCTCTACTCACTATTTCCCAAGACCGGATCCATAACGCCTGTCGTATCTCGTAATCACGAGACCTTATCTAGCGCTTGACAATAGTGACTGGTCGGGTCGTCAGCTCACGATATCCATTTAGAGAGATAATACTGGGATACATACCGATGTCCTCGTCGGCAAGCTCATGAGAAAGTCCCACACGCTGGGGCTGATGCTTGCATGATTTCCCGTAAACAATAGCGTGCTTGAAGTTGTCGACAATTGTCTTGTGGATGGAATTACACTACAGAGCGGTTAGCGCGTCGCGTTTAAGATGAGGGGGAGACTTACGAAGTCTTCAATGGTACAGGCTGTTGATCGCAATACCACTGGCGCCGAGTAATCCGGCATCTTGCCCTTGGGTTTGGTGTAAACACGAACGAGATTGAGCTTCTCCCACATCTGCTCGAGGAGCTCATCGATGTTCCACCCGTGCTCGGAACTGATGGGACAAGCGTTCGGAATGCGGTAGAGTAAATCGAGCTCTTCGATACTGATAGCATCAATCTTGTTCAAAGCGTAGATGACGGGGATATAGCTTCGTCCCTTGGCCTCAATAACATCGATCAAATCATCGACCGTGGCGTCGCATCGAATAGCTACGTCGGCGTTTGCCATTCGGTACTCGTTCAGCACCGCCTTGATTTCGCCATGGTCGATATGTGTGAGGGGAACCGTCGCGGTGATGTTGATGCCTCCCTTGTCCTTCTTCTTGAGCACAATGTTTGGCGGGCTCTTGTTGATTCGAATGCCGAAGCCCTCCAGTTCGTTCTCGATGACGCTCTTGTCGGTGAGGGGTTTGTTGACGTCGAGAACGATGAAGATCAAATGGCAGGTCTTTGCGACGGCGATGACCTGTCGTCCACGACCTTTACCGTCCTTCGCACCCTGGATAATACCGGGAAGATCGAGAATCTGGATTTTGGCTCCGTTGTACATGACTTGACCCGGTACTGTAGTAAGCTATATGTTGTCAGTACTGATTCTAGTAACAAGCGTATCCAACCCACCGTTGTGAACTCATATGCAGCGGCTTCCGAGTGCTGTCCGGTCAATTTGCTCATGAGCGTACTCTTGCCCACGGAGGGGAATCCAATAAAACCAACACTGGCAACACCAGTCCTAGCAACATCGAATCCTACACCTCCACCGCCGCCACCGGACGAGGGCTCGAGCAGCTCTCTCTTAAGCTTCGCGAGCTTTGCCTTCAGTTGCCCTGTTCATGTATAAGCATACCAGTATGGAGTATCCGTTCATGAGGCCATACCAAGATGAAAAGACGTCGCCTTGTTCTTCTGGGTCTTGGCCATCTACGTCTCGTGTAAGTCATCGTGTTACGGTCGCGTATTGGGGTGTGGCTTACTTCGGCCTCGATGTCCTTGATCTGCACACCCTGTTAGCGCGTGGAATGGCGATATGCTGCGGCACTCAATACTTGCCTTGTCTACTGTGGTCGCCATCTTGAATTACTGTGTATCCTGACTTGCTCTGAGCCAGCGTGGAGAGGCGATGTTGTTGTTCAGAAATTTGATGCGACGCACGCCGCCAATGACGAAGCGGGGCACGGCTTCCCGGCAGTACCTTTCACCGCCACCTGATAAGGTTAGCGTTCAACGCAGCACCCTTCCATCCCGGCTTCCATGCACATGTTTTTCATAAAGCTGAAGAGCCCGATACGAAGAGGACGCGTTCGGGGTCTTGGCTCTTCACATCGGTGACTACACCCACCACTCTGGCTGAGCATATGAGGTGCATCACATGTCGGCGAACTGCTGACCGCCATGGATCCACATATCACAAGCTCAGAACGCGCCAATTGTTACATAATGAAGCAAGCCCAGTCCTGCACAAGCAGCATTGAAGGCAGGCAAGCCAACGCTCTTACCCTCCAAAGGCTGTGTGTATTTAAAGCCCGCGCACCGAACTCTCTTCGTCGTAACTCCGTCTGCAATAACATCATAACCAACGACACGCTCGCCACATTTCTTCTTCCTCACATATCAACATCGTTACCATGATCGGTCGCAACACTGAAGAGGATAGCTTCCATTCGCTCGTGCAGGAGATCAACAAGGTGCTCGGCCCCAGCAACGGCATAGACTCGGATGACGTAGACGAGAATGAGCTCCAGGAGTTGATGAAGGCATACACCTCGGAAGAGTCGGAGTGGGAGAAATACTACTTCCCATCTGAGACATTACCATACACACGGAATGTTGTCGACAAAGGCAACGGCAAGAGTAACTTGGTACAGTCAACGATTCTCGAGTCAACGAAGGTGGTGCTAATCGACCAGCTTATCCTAGTATGGGGTCCTGGAAAGAAGAGCCCGATTCACGAGTAAGTTCTCATATCTTGCGACAGTTGACATTAGCATGCCTTACCTCGCGAACAACATCCCATGGCTCCAGTCTCCTGTACGATGAAGCGACCCCGTTCGCCGATCTACTTTGATCGATGTGTCAGCAGGAGACACGCCGGTAAGACGAACTCTCGATAATCCATCCTGGACACACCTCACGTTCTCGAATGCGCAACTTAGCGTTGCAAGATATAGTACTAACATCACCCCAGTCACGCAAACGCCCATTGCATCATGAAAGTCCTCAAAGGCAGCCTGACAGAAACTCGTTTCGCAACCCCTACCGAAGACGACGCTCAAAACCAGCGGCCCATGACCAAATCCCAAGAGACTACTTTCACTGAAAACGAAGTCACATACATGGCTGACACGCTTGGTGTGCATCGTATTTCAAACCCGCACCCCACAGACTACGCAGTCTCGCTACATTGTAAGCATCAACTCTTCCATCCTACTTTACACTTCACTACG